CCCCCCCCCCGGGGCCGCCCCCAGCCAGCAGCAATGGCAGCAACTCCAAACAGAGCCTGCAGGCGAAGACGGGCAGGAGACAATAATGTGAACCCTGCTAACGTTGTCCCCTGCATTGTGTAGCCAGTTTGGGGCTGCACAGAGCACAGGACACGCTGGACAAGCACCAACCTCCATGCAACGTCCCGGATGATGTGGATGGCTTGTGAGTGCATATTTAACCCCCTAAAATCTATCCTAAATGCTTAAGGTAGGGTTAACCTGCTCTTTCTAACTGAAAATGTAGGTATTGGAGCACTGTGGACCCTCTTTGCAAGTCAAGAAAAGGAACAGGCACCTCAAGATGCAATCATTGAGGCTCTTGCCTCAACAGGTCTCCAACACAAGGCGAGTGGCACTTTGAAACGGTTTATTTTCTGCCCCTTTTATAAGGACATGCCCGGTTTCAGACACACATTAGGATCAACAAATTTCCTCCTCTGAGCTAAGCTCTTTCAATTAGCACTCTCCATTTCTCCCACCCAACCTCAGACTTCTCCTCCTTTCCCTTTCAGAGCTGGCCTTGCAGCCACCCCCACTTGGCCATGCCCTGGACTGCCGTTGTGGCATTGACGGAGGAGACAGCGAGGAGAGCAGGTGGGAGAAGCAAGAAAAGAGTGAGTACATCTAATGAAGGGCAGGGGACCCAGAGAAGACAACTGAACTGAGGGGTGACATTGGGCCCGCTCAACATTCTTGTCTCTGAATTGGAGACGCGTGGATTTGACAGATGGACCACTCAGTGGATAAAGAATCGGCTGGATGGTCACACTCAAAAGGGTTGTGGCCAATGACTTGATATCCAAGTGGAGACCAGTGACGAGTGGCGTTCCTCAGGGGTCATAGTGCAACCGGCACTGTTTAACAGCTTTGTCAGCAACATGGACAGTGGGATCGAGCACACCCTCAGCAACTTTGCCAACGACGCCAAGCTGCGTGGTGCTGGAAGGAAGGGAGGCCATCCAGAGGGACCTTGACAGGCCTGAGAGATGCACCCTTGTGAACTTCATGAGGTCCAACAGGGCCAAGCACAAGGCCCTGCACATGGGTCGGGGCAATCCCAAGCACAAATACAGGCTGGGCGAAGAATGGATTGAGAGCAGCCCTGAGAAGAAAGACTACTTGGGGTGTTGGCTGATGAGAAGCTCAATATGTCCTGGCAATGTGCACTTGCAGCCCAGAAAGTCAACCGTATCCTGGGCTGCATCAGAAGAAGTGTGGCCAGCAGGGTGAGGGAGGTGATTCTGCCCCTCTAATCCACCCTTGTGAGACCCCACCTGAAGTACTGCGTTCAGCTCTGGGGCCCCCAACATAAGGAGGACATCGACCTGTCAGAGAGAGCCCAGACGAGGGCCACAAAGATGACCTGAGGGCTGGCGCATCTGTCCTATGAAGAAAGGCTGAGAGAGTTGGCGTTGCTCAGCCTGGAGAACAGAAGGCTGTGGGGAGACCTTGCTGGAGCCTTCCAGCACCTGAAGGGGATCTACAGGAAAGCTGGAGAGGGACTGTAGTGATAGGACAAGGGGTAATGGCTTTAAACTAAAACAGGGTAAATTTAGATTAGATATAAGGAAGAAATTCCTCACTACGAGGGTGGTGAGGCACTGGCAAGGGTTGCTCAGAGAAGTTGTGGATGCCCCATCCATGGAAGTGTTCAAGGCCAGGTTGGACAGGGCTTTGAGCAACCTGGTCTGGCGGAAGGTGTCCCTGCCCGTGGCAGGGGGGTTGGAACTGGGTGATGTTTAAGGTCCTTTCCAACCCAAACCATTCTATGATTCCATGACTCACAAATTCTGCTGCTCTTCCAGGGTTCCTAGGCAGGGGGGAAATAAAACAGCACCATTAATTTAGTCGAGGAGCTGCTAACAAGCTACCGCCAAGGTTCTCCACTGCTGCAAGATGATATTCCATAGCAAGCAGAAAAGCAAGCAACGTTATCACAGAGGGAAATATGTTTATACTTGTAATGCAGCATTTTTCAGCTGGAGGCTTCTGGGACCTGCTGTTTTCCTCCAAATCTTTATTTGATCAAGTGAGGAAATAAATGTATTAGGACTAAGGGCAATTCAGTGACAATTTAGCAACTGGTTTCCATTTTGTTGGCTTTTGAGGGTATCTAATAACTTTCAAGTAGCCATAAAATGTTTCTAAAGGAATTCCTGTGGCTTTGGTGCGACAGAGCCAGGACCTTGAGCACTGAAGGGAGAACCAGCCTGAAGAACTACAGCGGAACTCCTCCTTGCTGAGCTCACGGCAGAAGCGGGAGCTGAGAGATACCCTACCTGAAGTGGGGTCCCAAGTTGAGCTCTGGAGCAAAGGGTCTGTCAGTGACAATTGTGGTGCCGATGCCAACAGCCTGGACAGGGATGACGTAGGTATGGCTGTTCTCGATGAACAGGTTCACCTCATCCTTGAATTTCTCAGTGTCATCCAAGTTTACTATGACTGTCAAAGACACCTCAGTCTCAGGAGGGATCACTCCTTTACTGGGTTCAATCCTCCAGCACGAGCATTTGCCAGCCTGTAAGACAAGCCAAACAGTAACTTCGGATGGAAACCACGGAGCCTGGTCTCTTGTGGGGTGCAGGAAAAGGAAGGACGAAAAACATGAGGGTAAAAACCATAAAGGCTTGATTTCCCTAAATCTAAACTACAGTGTCTGGCAATGGCAACTCTGCGGGAGTTTATACAACCTGTATTTTACCCTCCTTTAAGAGACGCATTTCATTAACCCAGTTCTGCCCAACCCAATGGATGCTCATCCACAGGAGAAGGCTATTCCCCCTCCAGTCCCTCTTTTGGAGTGCGTGCCAAGGGAGGCTAATTTCTCTCTCCCGGCTTCCCGACAAGGGTGGCTGGGTTTGCATAAAGGCTCAAGGCCAGAGGAAGCCAGGGCTGCCCAAATCCCACCACGGCAGCCACGCGGCAGGGGAATACTGTGGAGAGCCTGTAGGAGAACACTGCAAAACCGCTTGATCAAAACCCCAAAGTCATCTTTCCCAAGAGTTAGGCGGTGCTTCTCAACAGCCCCTGCAGGACCGAAGTGCTCGGTTCCCACTGATCATCAGCTGCAGCGAGGTGCACCACTGTCCTTGGCTTTGAAAAATCCTGCTTTAAGTGTTTGCAGCAGGGCAGTAAAGAAACAAGCAAAAAGAAAGCTGCAAAACATGCTCTGTGGGCATGGCCCTGGCTTCCCAAGTGCTCTCTTCCTCTGGTTTCTCATGGACCTTCCGCTACGCAAGGGGCAGTAAGGGCCCTGGACCCCCGGCCCATCTAAAACCACATTCACAGGGAGCAAGCTTGCAGCAGACAGAAATGCATGCAAATGCTCCCTGGGCAGCATGAAATGCATGGGGATGGAGATGCACGACTTCAAAATGTCCATCATGGTGTTGGTGGTACCTGCACCCCTGCGACAGGCCCTACTCACCCAAAACACCACACTATTGTAAGAGAAGAGGTTTTCTCCTTTTTTTAATAGAAAGCAATGATGTGCTTGGAGGCCTGACAGCATCCAAGAAGCAAGGGCCTGATCCAGGTGAGGTTAGCTTGAGTTTCCACCCGTCAGGCTGGCGGCACCGAGCTGTAACAGGACACCGGCCAGCCCGAGGGAGAAGAGCATCAGAAAACCAAGCAGCACTTCAAAGTTGTGGAAAGCATTTTAAATAACTCCCCAAAACAACCTCTGCTAACGAGGGTAAGACTAGCTGGAGGCGAGGGAAGCAATAACAGGCTGAGCATTCGGGTCCCGGCAGTGTGTGTAGGTGCCCCAGCGACGATAACTCCTTTTGCTGGCTGCACCCTATGTGGAGGGCAGGTCAGGTCTGCACGCCTGCATCCCAGGATGGAGCATGCCAAAGGCATCCAAGTTATTCCAGGCACTGGCGCAGTTAATAAGCTCAGCTCCATTTAATTTGTCCTCTAGAGCTGCAAGAGAAAGTCTTAAAAAAAAGCAAGATGAGAATGGGATGGAGGTAGTCAGAACAGGCTAAACACTAGGGCTCTGCTTCTCCATGAGGACCAGGACAGGCCTTTTATACTCCTACATCTTCCACATTCATCATTACCTGCAACCTGCTCTCCACTCTTCTGGTTTGGGACCTCATACTCTGTTTGGGAATGTTCTTACTTTCCCTTTGAGGTCTAGCTAATTATCATTTTGTTTTCTGCACCCCTGACACCCCATGGTTGTGGAGGAGAAGCAGTGCATGAGAACCAGACTGAACTCGGGGCATCTTAGCTAGACTGGAAGATGGCAAATAAAGCAAAACCTGTCAGCAAAGCTCTATCTGCTTACCCTACAGTCACTGAGCCTCCTGAAGCCATCACAAAAATCAGCACCAAATTCATTTTCATCTCAAAGGCCAGCGATGCACACAACGCCAGGCAGGTAGGCGAGAGAAGAGAGACCTCACTGACTGCATCGGACCCACCAACCCTCTTCTGCTGTCCCTGCACCCTGCGCAAAGCTGATCACCAGCCTCAGAGGCATCCACGGTGCTGCCATCAGCCAAGGGCTACCCAGCCAACACATTCACACCGAGCCAGTGGGTGTTAGGTTTGCATTGACAGTAATGTACAACTTTTCCTCTGATTCATGCTGACACAGGGTAGCTCACTTGAAAAGGAGACCTGATAGCTTGCTCCAGAGGTGAATCTGCAAGTCTGCTATCTGACAAAGCTCATTTATCAAAGCTTGGCAACAAGCCGGGCAGTAAATTGTACCCAAGAAACTATTACTGAGAAATAATGATAGGCTGTGTTAATGGAGCCAGGCTTTGAATTTCCCAGGGTGACCCAACACAGACCCACCATGCCCTGCCAGGCCAACAGCCTGCTCCGGAGGAGCGTGATTTGCATTGCATCCTCATTCCTTCAGTTAGCTTTTGGTGTGGGTCCAAGGGCCAGCACAGCGCATCACCGAACAGGAGACCTGCCATGACCAAAAGTCTCTGCCGGGCCAGATTCACTCAGGTTTCTAGGTCAGCTTCTGCCTGCACCCACCCAGGCTGTGGCCCAGAGACAAGAAATCTCTTGGAACCATGCTAAAAATACTCCATCACTTTAGAGGCCAAGATCTAACTTCTGGTAATATCCCTGCTACTTGCTTACCCCCGAATGCTCTGAAAAATGATCCAACAGCTGTATGCAATGGGATGGACAAGGACGGTTTGTCCTGGCAGGAGCTTGCACTATTGGACATCAGAGTCCCCAAGTGCAAGGCAAGGGTAGGGATCAATCACTTAATCAAGAAGTTCAATGTGGAGATCATTAGCTTCTCCCAGAACAGATTCCCATTGCAACTAAGAGCTACCAAAATTTGCTTATAATGGAAACCAGCCTGCATCTGAGAGATGAATGGAGATGGACAGCCGCCCTAAGAGACAGCCAAGAAGCCACCACACTCAGTTCTCTTGAAGCTACTTAAAGCTAGTTAATTAAAAGTGATCTGGTCATTCTGGCCTTGCACAAGTGAGAGAGGAAGCAGAACACGGTATTAAAAATGGAAACCAGCCTGCATCTGAGAGATGAATGGAGATGGACAGCCGCCCTAAGAGACAGCCAAGAAGCCACCACACTCAGTTCTCTTGAAGCTACTTAAAGCTAGTTAATTAAAAGTGATCTGGTCATTCTGGCCTTGCACAAGTGAGAGAGGAAGCAGAACATGGTATTAAAAAAAAAAAAAAATCTATCCGTACTGTGCCAAGCCGTAGCTCCAGTGAGAGAGCATTCACCCACCACTCCTTGTGGAGGCTGCATGTGAAGGGGAAATAAACCTCCATCCTCCATCAGTTGTGCACAGAGCCTTGTCTCATGTGTTTTAGCAGTCCCAAGGTGGGGGACCCTGCATTCTTATTTCTTATCCGCACAAACTGCTGGTGGCAGAACCCAGCTCAAAAGCACCCTGAGCCCCAGCAGGAGGTGGAGACCAAAGCACGAGGCTGGCTGGGTGCTCCCACCGACCACTAGCACCTCCTCGGCAAAAGCACAGGGACCACCTTGGTTTAGCCTCTGCCCCAAAGCACCATCGAGGGGATGTTATATGGAAGAGGCAGAGACTCTAAAACCAGTAAAAAAAAAAAAAAAAAAAAAAAAAAAAAATTTCAAGTGTGGCACTCACTGCAACTGATGATGGAGCCTAATTGGTTCCACTTGGTTCAGCTGATAGCAGCACTGAGTGAGCTAACGAATCTTGTCTCCATCTGTGTTCCCCTGTCCACCACTCCAGATCCCATCTGCCCTCCCCACTGGGCTGGGGAGCCCAGGGCCACCGCTCCGCCACCAGACATTGGGGTCCGTCAGCCAGGACACGACCAAGCGCCCGAGTCGGCCGGCTGCTGCCAAGCACAATATTTAATAACCAAACCCCTCGTGCTTTTCCTTGGGGAAAAGCACTCTGCTGAGTCACTCTTGCTTGTAGGAATGTAATTGCCATGAAGACTTCTACCCTTCTTTAATTCAGTTGGCCAACGGGTGCAGCACGATACAACGAGCTTAGTTTCCCTAGACGAGCAAAGTAATTTCTTCAATTACTGAAATACAGCAATTTTGAAAGGGTACAAACTTATATAAGATACCTGGTGTGATAAAAAAACCAAACCTCTTCCCTGTAGCCAGGTTTCAGGTATCTTTTCCAAGTTCTCCTCCAAACCTTTGCTCCCCCTTTTTAAGAGCTTGGACCTAAGCCGGTGCAACACTGGGAGGGACACAGCCTTCCACCTTCCTCCAGTTTTCATACAACCGGTCACCAGCACAAGACTGGATACTCCTGACCCCTTGTCCATGACCGATGCCATGAGTTTCCAGGCATGGTCCAGCTCTGGCAAGACCAAACTGGGTGGAAATCAGCAAATTGGTCCTGCTGTATTAGCAAAACACAGCTTTTAAAAACCAAACCAATGGTTTAAGTCTAAAGGTGAGCTTTTAGAGGACCAGGAGGCACTGGTGGGCAGCTCTGGAAAGAGTTAAGCCTGTGCACCTTATCTTCAAAATCTCTGCTCACCTTGAAGAGACCACATATTGAGGGCTGATGCTGCCCATACCCGGGAAAGTTAATTTAATGCTTATTTCTAAATAGCATTGCAGATACCATTTGAAGGGCACAGCACTGCCTGTGTCTCGCTACGAGCAAACACTGACAGGTTGGCTAATTACTCAGATGCTTGGGGGTGGGGGGAAAGAATAAAATGTAATTTAGAGTAGATTTAAAAACCATCCTCTTGCCAATTCAAGTCTGCTCCAACTTCATTGAGAGCAGTCGGCGAAAGCTGCAAACGCTGCCGACATGCTCTTCAAAGCCTTCCCTCCCCGCAGCCTGCACGATTTGCTCCGATAACAAAATCTCCCATCAGCCAGAACAAGAAACAGAATCACTGAAGCGGCCTCCCTTTATCAGCGCTGTTTTTAAGTTTATCTCCCTGTTTTGCTGTCTCTCCATATGGCCATTTCTTTAATAAAGGGAATGTCGTCAAAAGCTTGAGATAATAAGCAATGAAATTAGTAAATGAAACAAGTCCTGCACTAATGAGGAGAGAAGCAAGTCTGGGAATGGGAACTGCACATTCCCTCCTTGCTCACACCAAGTTTGACCAAGAGCCTTTATATACTGCCTGAAAATCAGTTGTTTTTCTCCAGTGAAGCTTTTCTTCCCCCACCCCCTGGCCCCCCTCCCCCAAATAAACAAAACTTTGTCTCTTCTGCAACATCAGCTCCAGTAGAATCTCCTGAAGACAGCAGCGCCTCTGGCTGTGCAACCGCTGCGGGAAGCCAGGCAGCTCCATCAGGAACAGGGTGCTCTGGATTAGGGAGGTCAAGGATCAGGTCAAAGCAGCCAGGACCCCAAATTAGGACACAGAGCACTGTCACGAGACAAGGAACGCCCAAGGAAAGGTTTTCTCTCTGCTCCCTCATTACGAGGCCCCAGGAGACCACCGTTTGCCTCCCTGCAGCAGCACGCAGCAGAGCCGGCACAGTGGTTATGAAGGCAGAAGAAAGCTGCCACTCATTACCAAAAATTACACCCTGGGCCTCTCTTTTCTTTCCTGATCACACAGGCATGATATGCAGCTGCCTTCCGTGATGCCGAGAGATGTCATTCCCAGTAGCCGAATAAAAGATCCCTGTGAAGGCAGAGCGACAAAGAACAAGTAGGGAACGATCCTTTTTCCTCTCTGCCTTTCCACAGGGAGAGCAAACATTTCCATTGATCAATACAACTCTTTTGCACTTGTCAATATAGAAGAAAATCTTAGGGCAATGGATAAAGAAGATGACAGCATCCGCAAGGAAGAGAAACAGCCACCTTTTTCAGGAGGTCGCATCAGCCCCCAGCTAAGCTGCAGCAGCTCCTTCACGTTGACCTATTCCTCTTTTCTACCCCCCAAAAAAGGCAAACCCTCCCCTTGCTGGATGCAGAGGCTGCCTGGCAGCTGGAAAAGCAACCTGACAAAGAAAAATACATCAGAGGGACAGGATTCTGTGGATGAGCATGGGACAACAGGCTGGTCCCAAGGGTCACAGACCTGCGGATACCCTGGCAAGTAGGGATAAGCCAACAACACAAAGTGCCTACACTCCTCTTCAAACCCAAAAGCCCCATCTCAATGCACAGCTTCGGAGGTTTCTCATTTATTTCCTTCTGACAGCAGAGCTGCTCAGTACTGCTCCATGCAACTCATCCCATAGAGAGAAGAGGGGTACAGGGAAGCCCGTGCATGAGGGGTACTCCAGGTAATTCCTTAAGTTACTGTCCCAAACTGAAGTTATCCACCAAAAAAAAAAAAAGCATCTCTGCTTGCTCAGATAACCCTCTTTCCTCCCACAAAGCTGGAAGAAAAGCTTGATTTGACTGGAACAGCTGTTTGCATGTGATGGTTATGAACACCATCAAGGTGGCAGCACGGCCATCTGCATGATAGCATTTTCCTTTCCTGTTTCAAACAAGTCACCAGCCTTTTCCTTGCCCTGTTGCTGCCCCTTAATTTCATCTGATTCAGTCTGTTGAGCTGCCAGTCAGCGTGCCATAACATCACTGATCCAATGCTGCAGTGAAAATTTCAATCGATAGCTCTTTCTTTCAAGTGGGGATCGTGATCCATAAGCCCAACCGCAAACAGTCAGGGTTTCGAGATCAGCCATCAAATGGGAGACAGGGAAATCGCAGCTTGCCGTCCTGCAGCAATCTCCAGGCGGGAAATCAAAGCAGCAGCTTTGGCATCTTGGAGACTTTGGGTTCAGGGGCACAGCTGAATGAAGGATGCCCAAGCCACCAGCTAGGCTAAGGGACAGCTGGAGCCAGTTTGGCTCTCAGATATACACATGCAGCTCACCCTGACACCCGAACGCATCTCAAATTTCATTTCCAAAATCATTTGTTCCTCTCTTCTTCCCATCAATAAACCGCCAGGCAGCCTAAGGCAGCAGCAAAGAGCAAAAACTTCAACTGAGGCAGCAAACCATCACCAAAGCAGGTGGCTGCTGAGGGCAAGGGAGTTACTTGAGCACGTCTTGCCTGCCGCAGCACCGCTCCCTTCAGCCAGGCTCAGCATCACGGTGCTGAAGAGCCCGAAGAGCCCTTGTTGATCGAGCAGGTTCCCTGGACATTGCCATGACATTGGCAGCTATCCCAAGAAGCTAAGATGCTCACCATGGGGTACCTCAACCCTGTGAAGTCAGCTGTGGGGTGGGGACTACGGAGCAGCAGAGCCCATCTTTACTGCAGGAAAAGAAGCCACCCCTGAACCATCTCATATTATTGTTCTATTTATTGATTAGCTACAATATTTGCAGAGATTGCAGTAGAGTGGGATAGGATTTATTGCAGTAGAGTGGGATAGGATTTATTGCCCAATCCCATGAATTAGGGCATTGAGGGAGCAGAGAGGCAGATCTACCCCAGCAAGCTACCCAGGGGAGGGCATTACACTGGGACAGCAGTACCAAAACAGCTCTGCAGGTCACCCTTGGGTACAACCACGCAAACCCCATCGTTTATACACCAGTACCAGCCATCTGAGGTGGCTTGCTCTCTACAGAGATGGCAAACGGATTTTTATTGTGGAGTCAAACAGAGCTGCCCCGCTTTGAGGTTACGTTTATCCTCCTGGGGACAGCAACTGGAGTGAAACAGCTGGAAAAGCAACAAGAAAGAAGTTCAACCTGGGTGAACCAGCCCCAGAAGTTCAACCCACCTAGCATGGAGAAGCACAAACCTCCTCCAAACCCTGTTTTCCTGCTCCAATGCCCCCTCCAGCAGGGAGGGCGTCCCAGCCCAGCCTCAGCACGCGAGCCCTTCCCAGCTGCACCATCCCTGCTCCCCCTGCCAGGGAAGCAGCCAAGGTCCCTCCTGCTATGCCGCTTCTCACGCCATGCGCTCTCCATAAATTAAATAGCCTTTTTCTGCAGCTAGTCTCCAAAGATGCTCTGCAACGCTATGGAGTCCACAGACTCCACAGGTACACGACCCTTACCAGTATATTTTTTGTGCAACAACCCAGCCGGTTTGAGCCCCAGATGTGAAGCAGATGTGAAACTCATGTCACCATGAGCAGTTTGAGGATGGACCTCACACCCTTGTCTCTGGCATTAACAGGAATTTCAGGCAAAGCAGATGCAGACATAACAAGGAAACCGCAGGGAAACCCATGCCCTTTCAGGAGCAAAGGGCCACAGGGTTATCTTGATCTCAGAGCTCCAAACCTGTGACTCTCAGAGCTAAATATCTTCCACAAAATAAAGGGAGAACCTGTAAAAACCATCCAGACTAATTTATGCCCAAACTTCTATACAAATTCTCTATTTTAATAAGGGGTCCCCCAGCTAAAATTGCCCCCAGACCCCAGCCCCTCTCGCTGCATTGGGATGGAATATCTTGCTTTCTCAGACAGCGATACGGAAATGCTGCATATATATATATGTATATACATAAAAAAATCAAGTCACAGTCATTTCTGTTGGAAACCAGCCCCACAGCTACTTACCATCTCTGCCCAGAAGGACGCAGGGATGACAGCCTGATTGGAGAGGCGGAGAGTTCTGCAAGCATCTTGTAGAACTTGGATACTGCCGAAGTTTATCTTACTTGGATGCACATAGACAACTGGTCCTTCTCCAATGCTCACTAAATGGATTTTCTGCTCCAGGAAGGAGGTAGGAAAGATCAAAAAAAAAAAAAACCAACCCAAAAAAACCCAGGGGAAGTTTAAAAGGATTAGACAGCTCTAAGGGGACTCCTAGGCTGGGGGATAATTAAAACACTGAAAACTTCAAACAGCTGTAACACTGACGCAGGCGGCCAGGAGCAGGCATGGGACCTAGAGTGACCCCACCTGAAAGGCACAAGCTCCCGTTATCAGTGGATAAAGAAACCCAATTTCCCCCACCTGCTTTCTCACACACACACCCACCTCCTGTTACCTCTGCCTGCTCCTGCTCCTTTTACTGCTCCGTCTTGCCCAAAGCCACCCTTCCCTGACCTCCCCTGCCACACAGCCACGCTTGGACAGTAACTTCTTTAACATTCCCAAAGCTAACCCTGTGAAAACCAGCACAAGGCAGCAGAAAAATGAGCTCTTCAGAGTAGAGATCATGTTAGCGAGCTGTCTCTGATTTTTGCATATGTGTACTCCCAGTATTACAGGAATAACAGCCATTAATTATTAATTACAACATTCAAAGCAGGTGGTTTTTTTTTTCTTTTGACAGTCTGAGACCCAGAAGTTTTGCTCTTGCTCTGGCACAGACTATTGGAGGAAGAATGCGGATCCCTTTGCTAAACCACCTTCTCGCATCCTTAAAAACAATGAGAATTTATTTGCTCTGGCTGGATTTCATGGTTCCAAACACCCCAACTCTCTTAAACAGGATCTGAACAAATCTAAGTCCCAACACTGACGAGCTGCTGTATGATTCACTGGAGGTCAAGGAGTATGATTTAACCACAGAAGAAACCAGCCTCCGTGATGTAAAACTAATGATATCTGACTCAAAGAAATGGCATTGGCAGCTGTCGGAATCACAAGCCCAACGCAGCCAGAAGAAGCAGCATCCAGGAATGCTCATCCCTTGACAGGATGCTACCACATGCAAGGAAGAGCCAAAAATCACGTACCAAGGCTGGTACCTCAAAAATAAGGAACTGCATACAGTTCTGGGCTCCCCAGTTCCAGAAGGATGAAGAACTACTGGAGAGAGTCTGGAGGAGGGCTACAGAGATGATGAGGGGACTGGAACATCTCCCCTACAAGGAAAGGCTGAGGGAGCTGGGCTTGTTCAGCCTGCAGAAGAGAAGGCTGAGACGGGATCTCATCAACATGTACAAATATCTGAAGGGTGGGTGTCACGAGGACGGAGCCAGACTCTTCTCAGTGGTGCCCAGCGCCTGGTCAAGGGGCAATGGGCACAAACTGAAGCAGAAGAGGTTCCAGTTGAACGGGAGGAAGAACTTCTTGACTTTGAGGGTGACCGAGCCCTGGCCCAGGCTGCCCAGGGGGGCTGTGGAGTCTCCTTCTCTGGAGATATTCAAAGCCCTCCTGGACGATGTCCTGTGCACCCTGCTCTAGGTGAGCCTGCTTGAGCAGGGGGGTTGGCCCTTCCAACCCTTGCCATTCTGTGAAGCCATATGTGATGGTGGATCTTCTATCCCTCCAGGAGAAGAGAGGCATGGAGAGCTGCAGTCTGGGTGATGCTGCCCAGAGCTCCTGGGAAGGAGCTGGAGGGCAGAGCTCTGCCTCACCAGTTGGCTTTGCCTCCAAGTGACAGTGGCACGGAAGCAGCAAAGGCAGGGCAGAACCCTTTGGAGATGGGCAGGATAACATCTGGGGGATGCCCAGGCTCGCTGGTTTCCATTAGAGTGGGTACCAATGCAATATATCCTCACCAAGAAGGGCTTCCTAAAAGGGCCAAGAAAAACCCCATTCGACAGCGTTACAGGCAACGCGACACATGGGGAAAGACATTAAAAGGAGATGACAACTTTGCCATCAGTAACATTGCCACACATACACCCCGTCTTCCCCCAGCAGCACCGCTGGCTTTGTCGATGGGTACGTAATGTCACATTTGATGATTTAGGAATGAAGAGCATCTGTCCCCAGCAGACAGCTGTGGTTTGAGCAACCGCTTATTTGGATAGCAGCCCAAATCCCCTGCCTGCAACACACAAGGCTACCTCGCCACTGGTAACCCCAGGGTTGGGTGTTGCCCACTCCTTAATGCAGGAAAATACATACACCGAGTCTGGCACGTGGTCACCAGCAAACAAAATACCAGGCAACAGACCCACGGAGGGACCCTGCACAACCCGGGTGAAAGATGCTTCACCTGACTCTGTAAAGCCTTGGTATCGATACCAGATGGCATAACCTAAGACCCATACAAAAGATGGGGACAGACTTTTTAGCAGGGCTGGCTGTGACAGGACAAGGGGTGATGGTTTTAAACTAAAAGAGGGGAGATTCAGAGTGGGTATCAGGAAGAAATTCTTTACAATGAGGGTGGTGAAACCCTGGCACGAGTTGCCCAGACAGGTGGTGGAGGCCCCATCTCTGGAAACACTCAAGGCCAGGCTGGACGGGGCTGTGAGCAACCTGATCTGGTTAAAGGTGTCCCTGTTCCCTGCAGGGGGGTTGGACTGGGTGACCTTTAAAGGTCCCTTCCAAACCAAAACATTCTATGATTCTATTCCAGAGAGGAGAAACCCTCCTATTTTAACAGCAGCATGCCTTATATTTGTGAGCAACTCTTTTTGTCAAACTTCGGACTTCCCTGCAAAGCCTGGCCTGCCTGTCGACTGGTTTACGTGCACATCCACAAAGACCTCGGTTGAGATGTTCAGTGGCATCCAGGGGATTTAGCAGCATCGTTTCCATTCATTTTAATGAAAGTTTAAATCCCTTCGACTGCTTTCAAAATGTCAGCCTTCCTTTCTGTTACAGAAAGCTTAAGGTTCCCAGCAATCTTCTGACATCCTCTTTTATGCTCAGAGAGATGACAAGACATTTTAAAACAGCTACTTCAAAAGTTAATATAATTTTAAATTAAAGTTTAATTAACTAAATTTGTTCTAGATTTCAGCCAGATGAAGCCAGGACACTACAAACAACGTTATCTTGCCTGCATTTTGTTGTCCTCACTGCTATTCTGTGTGCCTGAACTCAAACAATGTCTTTTAGGAGGCTTTAGTCCATGGAATCGTAGAATCACAGAACCATAGAATCATTTAGGTTGGAAAAGCCCTTTAAGATCCCCAAGCCCAACTGTTCCCCTAACCCTGCCAGCCCACCCTAAGCACCTCATCTACCCATCTTTTAACTACCTCCAGGGATGGGGACTCAACCACTTCCCTGAGCAGCCCGTTCCAATGCTTGACAACCCTTTTGCTGACAAAGTTTTTCCTAATGTCTAACCTAAACCTGTCCTGGCACAACTCGAGGCCATTTCCCCTCATCTTATCGCTTGTTACTTGGGAGAAGAGACCAACATCCCCCTAGCTTCACCCTCCTGTCAGGCAGTTGTAGGGAGCAATAAGGTCTCCCCTCAGCCTCCTCTTCTCCAGGCTCAACACCCACAGCTCCCCCAGACGCTCCCCAGCAGCCTGGGGCTCCATACCTCTCCCCACCTTCCTTGCCCTTCTCTGGACACGCTCCAGCCCCTCCAGGTCCTTCTGGGAGTCAGGGGCCCAACCCTGAACCCAGCATTCCAGGGGCGGCCTCACCAGTGCCCAGCACAGGGGCACGGTCACTGCCCTGCTCCTGCTGGCCACACCAGGCCTGATACAAGCCAGGATGCTGCTGGCCCTCTTGCCACCCGGGCACACTGCTGGCTCGTATTCAGCCACCTGTCGACCAGCACCCCCAGGTCCTTTTCCACCGGGCAGAACCCTCCTCCCCTTGAACAGATAGATGCTCCCAGCCAGTTTGGCCCTGCCTCATCCATTTCCAAGATTGGTAGAAAAAAAAAAAAAAAGAAGTCTCTGTGCTCCAGATGCAAGCGGTGTGAATACTGACATGTCTTTGGTCTGGACTCTCCGCAAAGAGATATGGCTGATATTTCTCAGACGTGATGGGCCTGACTTCCAACACTGTTTCTTACAGAGCACTTGCTTTAGCAGGAGTCAAGGATATCCCTGTGTCCTCCTTAACAAAAATCCTCACAAAGCAGCAGTTGCTGTTGATCTAATAATGCAGCAGAGGATGAGATGAGGGGATGGTGTTGGTTTTCAGACTGGGTTTGTTATCCCACCCCACATATCTGTAAGTTAAATGCTGTGCCAGATCATCACCTACCTAAGAGGATACCATCTTGCCTCTTCTCTAGGCATTAGCTATTGCTTATGCCCTGAATCTCTTTCCTCATCCACACCAGTCATCCCAGAACAGATCCCTGGAATGAGCAACCCTGCCTGTGCACTTTATGCTTCACCAAGACGAGTTGCACAAAGACACATGTCCTCTAGCACTCACCAGTGGGGATGCTTCGCTCCCAAACACCGCGATGTGAGCCACGGTCTCCTGCTCGCCTGTCACCTGGGCTTCCAGGGTAAGCGGGACCTCCACTGAGCTGCGAGGCTGGATGATCCCACGCGGCACAGGGCTGGAGTACCACACAGCAGCATCCTCCTTGTGTTCCTGTAAGGGACAGGATCAAACCCAACTTCAGAGTGACCTTTGAAGAAACATAAAACTTCTTGATATCTACCACAACAGCAATTAATGTGTTTGAAAAAAAAACCCCATAGGAGAAAGCAGAAAGGCACAACAAGGTGTAAGACTTGGGCTTAGCATCCTCAAGAGAGTCCAAAAGCTGCTGCATCCACAAACACGCGCTCCTGTGCTGACAGCCTCCTTGCAGCAGCTTTTCATGAACCTCCTGCATGAAAGCATCCCAAAGACTACAATATAAACTCCTTCCTAAAGAGATTAAGCTGCTTCCTGAAGTTTATATTCAGGTAGGTTCCTAGTCTCAGCAAACCTTCAGCCGAGGATAGGAACCTTCCTGAATATAAACCAGCAAGGTCTCACCCAAACCCCTTTCTTCTCTAATAAACCCCTCGGTAACATTGGAGAGTAGGAGGCAGATGCAATTGCAAACCTGAGGAAGAAGCCCGTAGCAGCCTGGAAGATCGCTGTTGTTCACAAGGGTTAGGTTCTGCTGATAGGGGAATTTTAGAAAGCACCGTCCAAACGTCACAATGGGGTTAAGCACTTGCAGCAGAGGAACTACGCATCTAGGCAAAGAGATGACCAGAGGGGAATTAGAGATACCGAGCAAACAGAGAATTTGTTTACTCCTTGAAGAACGTGCAATGGAGCATAACACATTTGTCACTGCCAGACAGACATTTAACACCCCTACAGCAATAAATCGCCTTTACCTTCTTTTTATTCACTTTTATTCACCAATCTCTTGTAAAGGAAGGGGAAACCCTGAGCCTCAGCATCTCAGAGGCTGCCAAGTGCCCAGGCAGAGCACGGTGCCCTGTCCCAGAGCTGTCTGATGGGCTCCTTTGCCCCAGGAAGCCTGCAAGGACCCTCCCGATGGCCCCAGCATGGCATGAGCTCTGGGGGAGCCTTCTCACCCGAGGACCAGTGCTCACCAAGGCTCAGGGAACACAAAACTCCAGTGTCTCACTAAAAACAACACTCCCTCCTCTCCCACACCACTGTTGCCCCACCTGAAAACTCAGCCACTCGTCCTGGCAATGGAGGGCACAAGCCAGCACACTCCTTATGCGGCAGCTGATCACCCCATTGCCGTAGCTACCTTGATCCTTCACCCCCACGGGTCCATACACTGCTCCCATTTGCACGTATTTTACAAAATTGCAGCCCAGGCACCGACCGGACGACTCTGCCAGGGAGAGGGAAACTGCATCCCTCTCGTAATTAAACTGACACCCACTGCGGCACAACAGGATTGAATCTGGCTGCAGCAAGAATAACTTTGGGCTTAAGTCTGAGAACATTAATGCTCCAAAGAACCAGAGGAAAGCAGAGAAACCTGAGCTCACCTTCCACATCAAGGATGATTTTTCCCTTATTAAGATCTTGCCTTTATTTTTCCCTCACCGGTCCCGCCATGAGCCCCATTGCCATTTGCATGTGCCTTCGTTAACTGGACCAGCAGGCTGCTCGCTGCATCCCAAATGAATGTTGCATTTGGGTCGCCACCCAGCACAGGTCCACCACTTGCAGGAAGCAGGACAGGCGGCTCTTTGGAAATTTTTTACACCTCAAGCACCAAAAACCAGGCAATAATGAATATAAATTACTAGGGTGCATTAAGAGGACTGTGGCCAGCAGGTCGAGGGAGGTCATCCTTCCCCTCTACTCTGCCCTGGTGAGACCCCACCTGGAGCTCTGTGTCCAGTTCTGGGTTCCCCAGTTCAAGAAAGATGAGGAACTCCTAGAAAGAGTCCAGAGGAGGGCAACTAGGATGATAAAGGGACGGGAGCATCTCCCCTATGAGGAAAGGCTGAGAGAGTTGGGCTTGTTCAGCCTGAAGAAGAGAAGACTGAGAGGGGACCTCATCAACACATACAAATATCTTAAGGGTGAGTGTTACGAGGACAGAGCCAGAGTCTTTGCAGCGGTGTCCAGCAACAGGACAAGGGGCAGTGGGTACAAACTGAAACGTAAGAGGTTTCAGTTGTATATGAGGAAAAACTTCTTTACTCTGAGGGTAACAGAGCACTGGAACAGGCTGCCCAGAGGGGTTGTGGAGTCTCCTTCTCTGGAGATATTCAAAGCCCGCCTGGATGAAGTCCTGTGTAACATGCTCTAGGTGAACCTGCTTTAGCAGGAGGGTTGGACTAGATGATCTCCCGAGGTCCCTTCCAACCCTTGCGATTCTGTGATTCTGTGGTTCCCTTTAGAAAAAGGCTCAGGGCCATGCCTGTCTGTTGAGCAGAGGGTGCTTCTCAAGCCGGGCTGCTTTCAAAGCCCTGCTGTTCTCATATTAAGCTGGGCAGAACTAGTTCATTAAGCGACGCTTCTCATTCAGAGCTGGAGCCAGCAAACCGCGTGCAGGTGGTGGTGGATGCATGAGGAGAGACGACAAGCTGCAAGGCAAGCGCCGATACCTGGCTGTGAGAAGCAACGCCAACACCTCCTTGCCGACACCATCCACGTCCACCACCAGCGCTAGCTCATAACGCTTCACGGTGTTGGAACACAGGGTGACCTAGCAGAAGAGAAGACCATCAAATACTTCATCGCGCCCAAAAACCATCACCCACGGGTGGCGTCCTCCAGTTCTCGTTCCACATTAAGGAAAGGGAGGATTTTGCCCTAATTCTTCTGCTGGTCCATGTGTAGAGCACAGTTTCTGGGAGTAAGAAAAGTCTTCTGACAATATCTGCTTTGTTAAATACACCATGCAGTTATCAGGGTGTATGTAAGCTAAATTAAAGCACAATTAGACTAATGCTCTGCTCACCACTGTATTAAAATTCAGGGACTCATTTTTAATGTCGACTGCAATAGCACAAATCCAGAGGAAATCTGTTGGCTTGAATAGAATGAGTTCAGCTCATTCTGAGCTACAGTGGGAAGCTGAGGGCAAAACGTGGCCCAGCAGATGTTGCCCAGTTCAAGGCTGCCAGAGCTTTTTCAGTCCCCCTTGGAGATCGCCGCAGTGAAGACAGCTCCTTCTGCTCAACAGGAGAGGAGAAATAAGACTGGGAAGAAAAGCAAACTGCTTTATACAATGACATCTCTCTTTTTAACAGCCACCTTCTGTCCTCATCCTTCCTCTGCCCACTTTAAATCAAAGAAATCGCTCTGAGCAGCTCTCAAACACGTGAATGGCTTCAGTACTTGACTATGCAGTACGAGACCTTTAGCTTATGATTTTAGAAACAAAAGGGTGCTCCTTCAGAAACATCCCAGAGTAACCCAGCCAACAAAAGCCTAAAACTAATGCCTGTATCTTACATTACGCTAGCAGCACTAAAGCCCTCTCGTACACCAGTGAAGCTTCAGCTCCACCTGCTGAAGCACGTATGGCTGGACCCTTTCCATACCTGGATATCCAGGAATCCCTGGGGGCGGATGGTCCCTCTGCAGGGCCTTATGGTAAATTCAGTTGCCTTGACATGACCTTGGGCTCCCTTTCTCCAGGATGGGCAAGTGTTGTCTGATGTCTGGACAAAACTGGTGATGCTGGGCTCCCCCGAGCCGTCCCCAGGAATGCGAAGGTTGAAAGTCATGGACACCAAGGAGGTGTTAGTGAGGCGACACGATAAGGTTCGAGGAAAGCCTAGGAAAATGACACAAACACGAATTTATGCACCAATCATGCCGTGATTCCTGGCGCGAATATCCTGCGGTCACTGTACCTGGAGTTGAGCTCTTTTCGATCAGAATTACAGCCAACAGAGAAGCTAAGCGAGGAATTAATTGCCACTTAAGTTCCCTTTTAAGCCAATGGCAGAGATTGCTTCCTTGGTAATGCCCACTCTTGGCAATGCCAAACACCAGAAGTTTTTCTCTCTTTAACTCTCTTTTTCTCTCTCACATTTCCCCAAACAGCACCAATTATTTCTCACTCATGAGCGTGCATCCAGACAGACCATTATTCTGAAAATTCAATCCATACAATTCCCTGTTAACTCCATGAACGCTCCCATGGTTTTCAATATATAAAAGCAGTGTATTGGCATCAAGGAGAAACTACAGTAAAAGAAAGGATGGATGAAATTGGAAACTACAGCATGATGCAAAGCACTCTAATGCAGTTTCTCTAGGCAGGATCTGTAAGGTATCTCCGGTTTGGGGGCAACCAGACTGAGCATGTGACAGTTTACAGCCCAGCTTCACCTGCTGCTTGCTGAGAAATTAGCAGGAACTGTGTCTCACCTCACCTAATTAAATGGGGACATCGCATCCATGCTGCATGTGGGCTTTGATTACTGCCCACAAAGGCTGACATCCCTTTAGCTTTGGTGCTATAGCTTTCCATTATGCACCAGTGATACAACCACGCCTAGTGGGGATGCTCCACAGAGACAGGACATCGGCCCACAACCTGCTCTGGCTTGGCTGGCCAGCTCCGCGAGAAGGAGACATCTCCCATGGCCTCCTGACCCAGCACTATTTGAATGCAGCTGGGTAGGAAAACCAACTGCAAGCGCAGGGGGTAGTTTCTCCATGCCCATCCACAAGTGACCGCTGCCCACCCCCAAGCAATTACTCTAGCAGGGAGGCGGGAGGTATGCAAAAAGGACAAACAGATTTCACAATCCCAAAGGAGACCCAAGTCTCCAGACGCAAACAACAGTTAGCAGCATAGCTAAGAGAAGCTAAAATACAATAGCTGCCTTTGGCTGAAAAGGCCTTATTAATGAAATCAGATTAAGTAGGATGAATCTGCTATTATACAACCATATTTCTGCCTGGTGCGTTTCTTGTTGTTTTATGTATTCAAAAGGAAACAAAGAAGTGGCAGTGTGGTGATGTAGGGAGGGGAGGAAGCAGCTCAGGAAAGGTAATGAGTTTTCTTAAAAAGTCCATGAACAGCATGAAAACGCAGAGGCATCCTCGGCACAGAATGATAATGGCCCTTCAATCAATCCACAATTGATTCCACATTTAAACTTTAGATCATCTCGGTAAAAAGCCTTTTGTGAGAGGGAGAACTAGAATCTGCATTTCAATGGAGATGCTCTGGATGCTCACTCACCGGCTCTGTCCATGGAGCTGGGCTTTTTGGTGGGGAAGGAGAGGGAGCCCACATCTCTGAGGACATTGGTGCCTGATGCAGAGCTATTGCTTGGCTGTATTACCTGGTAGGTGATAATGAGGTGCCCTCACAGCACTAATTACCATCTCACACTAAAAGTGGAGTAGGTAAATGGAGGTGTTGCCTTGCAACGGGATCATTTACAGAGCAGCTACAGGGTAATACTTGGCTTAAACTCCCTTCTCCTACAGTCCTGTCCCCTGGACCCATCTGGGACAAGGACCTTCACAGTCATTCTGCTGCCAAGGATTGGGAGGTTGGGGCTGGACAGACTACGAGGGACATCAGAAAATATTAACTTTCTGTTCCTTTGGTCCTATTTGATCTTATGATGGCAAAATACTGCCTAGGCAACCAGCAGCCCTGGGTTTAAGCACCCTGAAGGCTGCTATGGAGGAACACAAGCGACAGACGTTCTTCTACTAAAGTCCTCTGTTTTGGTAACATGCAGACCTCTCGACCTGCGGTCCAAGCCCAGGGCACACTCACCAAAGGAGACGTCGCCGAAGCTGAGGGAAGGTACATTGAAATGAAAAGTCGGTCCAATGACACAGCCCCTGTGAAGACAAAAACCAGGCAGAGGAGGCATTGGCTTGGTTAAAGAGAATTGCAAAGCATTCAGCTTTCATTACCGCTCGGCTGGATAAAAGCTGGTCTCAGAAGCACCATGGGTTTCAAACCAACCCATCACCAGCACAGCATCCACATGGACAGGAGGCAGCCAAAGCAAAGTGGTCAGGCACAGGTTCCCTACTTCAGTATTACTTAGCTAGAACTGGTGCTTCCATGGAGCATGGCAACATCTAAGATGATCTTGATCCACACAATCATTATGCATGCAGGATTTTGAGGCATGAACCCAGGGGAGCTCCAAACATCCATTCAGAAGAGCAGCAAGAGTTCTACGCAACTGACAGTTGAATCTTTGAGGAAAGTATCAGCTTGCACGAGCAAACCAGCCCATGCATCTAAGAGCAACACACGTCTTGTTGGGGCATGGTGTCCTGAACCCACCACCTCACCTCACCCATGCTCAAATTCAGCAGACAGGCTCCAAATTCCAAAGCTCGTCAACAGCCACTGAAATCAGCACTTGGAACTCCACAACAGTCATTAATTTATTTCATGGTTGATGCCAATCAATGCCAGCCCTACCTCTTAGTTAAAAAAAAATAAAAATATCAAGGACCACAGTGAATGGTGCCTTCTAGGTTTTTTTTGCAGGATTGCCACTGCGTCTGGTCTGCACGCAAACAGAGCTCAGCACCCCACAGGAGGGACCCACGTTCATCCATGGTGCCCCTTTTCCAGCATCTGTTTCTAAACACCAAAGAATCACACGTTCAGGACCTCATAAAGTTGGTTTGCAAGTAAAGAATAATCACCCATGGTCTAGGTGTCCTCTGATTGCAAAGTCAAAAAGCACTCAAAACCTGACTTCCAGGAGTTTCAGGCCAACGTTAATTCTCAATTCTTGGAGCTGAATCAGTTCCTGAGAATAAGACAGATAGCAAATCCCTGAAGTTCCCTCTCCAAGGACCTCATGCAGTCAGACCTAACCTCCCAAGCCCTAACAGCTTACTCTGGACGGAGCAAAGGGAGCAGACATGCTTTCCCTCACAGCACTTGCCAGGAAACAATGGAAAACTACCTCCAAACCAACCACAACCGGGGATCACACTGTGCAGCTGCCAAGGATGAGCCTTTCCAGGTGAGTGGGGAACCACCTGCCGTTTCTGCTGAGTGCACCGTATCTGCGCTCAAGTCACTCAAACCTGAATGACTGCCCAGAAGGCTCAGGCAAGGAGCCAGCCCAGGGCTCTGTGCACCACAGCCGATAACAGCACAGCTTGCAAGAAAATGGGGGGAAAGGCAGTGGTTTTGGCAACACCCGTGTTTTACAGTAGCATTAAATAGTGCATCTGTGAAGGGAGATTGGGGTCCTTGCAGAGCAGGAAGGGTAACACAAGATGGGAGAGGAACCACTTGAACACACATTCCCATTCCTTCCTTTGCGGCCCAGTGTCCCACCAGCTTGCCTCCATTCAAAAAACTGGGATTTTTTCCTCCATGGAGGACTAAATCCAGTGGTCAGAAACCTCCCAAAGAGGGATACTCAGCTGGACCTGGTGGGTGGACATCTCAAAGGCATTTGGAAACAGCTTAAATTAGTGTTGGTCTCTGCTCCCAGGGAACGGGCAATGGGACAAGGGGAAACAGCCTCAAGTTGTGCCAGGGTGGTTTAGGTTGGACATGGGGAAAAATTCCTTCCCCGCAAGGGCTGTCAGGCCCTGGAAGGGGCTGCCCAGGGAAGAGGTTGAGTCCCCATCCCTGGGGGGATTTAAAAGCCGGGCAGAGGAGGTGCTTAGGGACAGGGTTTAGTGGTGGGATAGCAGGGTTAAGGTAATGGTTGGGCTTGGGGATCTTGAAGGGCTTTTCCAACCCAAACAAGTCTGTGATTCTATGAATTGTGGGGAGACGGAAAGATAAGGGCTGGACAGGAATCCTTGAAAAAGGCAAGACAAACCAAGGAGGCAGATACTATCTCAGGGACTGCAATGGGAACTACTGCTGAGGGACAGCTGTATGGGAGCAGGTAGGGATGCTGGGGTACCATCAGATGGGCTGCATAGCAGCCACCATCCAAGGAAAGAAGAGTACAAGGATGGGGAAGAAATAAATTAAAAAGACCAGCAATCCTCTCTCACTGAGATACAAGCTCTGCACTGAGCCAAGTGTGGTGCTGGCAGCACAGGGCAGAGAGCGGCCGCAGGGAAGGGGACGACGCGCTGGGCACTGGGAGCCAGGGCATCAGTGGGGGGAAAAAAAAGGATGACTTTGTTTGGTTGTCGGAAGCAAAGAGACAGCTATCCCGCTGACTGGAAGCTGTTGCCTTCCTCGCAAGCAAGGCCATGGCAGGGCAGAGGCAGCGGGCCCTACCCAAAGCAGTACTGTATCCTACCTGCGATAAACACATCTTTACAAGCAAAACCTGCCCTTGCTCAAGGAGAAAGCTGCTTATGCAATAACATCCCATGACCAATATGGGGGAGGGGCATAAGAGAATAAATTATTCGATTGTGAAATGTTCCCTCTTGATTTCCAAAAAAAGCAGCACTTTCTCTCCAAATACAAAGCCAACGTAATTGTTTCTCTACTGAGGTCAACAGACCTACTCACCACTCTTCTCTTGCAAAGTAATAGCCTTGTTGTTCTCTTTTAGCCATCTCCCTTACCTTATTGGTAAAAATCAGCAGTGGATTCCTTTCATTTCTTTGCTACCTAGCAGCAGCCCGGAAGGGTGGCTGCTGAAGAGGCGCAGCCAGCCCTACAGCTCCAGCATCGGCCTTCCTGCCCACACCATGTTATCCCACCAGCCCTAAGACTACCTGGGACAAGTTTTTGCATGCTGCTGTGGTCTGGAGAAGCGAGCTTTGCCTCTTCCATCATCAGCTTGGGGTTTTTTCCCCCCCTCTTCTCCCCTTTGCTTGGTGAGGATTATCTTTTGCAACGGCACCAGCCCATGGGATGATGCCCAAGTCCTTGTGACAGTACTTGCTGCAGAGCTCCCCGTCTCCCACATCAGCACTTTTCTGGCTGCAGAAAGGAAGTAGCGTAGCACTCGCTGCACGAGAGCTGGGAGGACAGCTGTCCCAATAGATTAGCATGAGATGACGTTGAGGTTGCCGCTACCCATCTCGTATGGATTACTAACAGAGGATTTTAAAAACACTGCTTCTGGCTACAGAATCACGCAGACTGGCCCATCTCCAAAGCCCTGTTGGCCTTGCTGTGTGTCCAGGTGGGACATCCCAGATCATCTAATGCCCAAAGCAGATACCATCACACTGTCTGCCACGGCCCAAGGGGGAATGAGCTACCTGTCAAAAGGAGTCACTCCAGCTCCTGGGTACCTAAACAGGGCAGCAGGCATCATAGAATCCCAGGTTGGAAGGGACCTCAAGGATCATCTGGTCCAACTTTTCTAGGTGAGAGCACAGTCCAGACAAGATGGCCCAGCACCCTGTCCAGCTGAGCCTTAAAAGTGTCCAAGGTGGCAGAGTCAACCCCTCCCCTGGGGAGATTATTCCAATGAGTGACTGTTCTCATGGGGAAAAATTTCCCTATCGTGTCCCATCGGAATCTTCCCAAGACGAAGTGGGAGATGATTACCCAGAGATAACTACAGATGGGCCCACCAAGTTCCTATAACCCTCCTCACCTGATAGTCAGCGTCACAGGCTTGGGGGATCCATCCACACTAAACCTGAATTCTTCTGTGAACTGCCCCAGGATGGTGGAACTGAAGGAGATCTGGATGACTTGGAGCCTGTCTGGCAAAATGATGCCTTCCTGGGGGAGAAAGGTGAAGCAGGAGCCCAGAGCTGTAGCTGGAGGGACCAAGTTGAAGACAGCATCGATGGCTCCTTTGTTAAACAGGATCGCCTGCATTGGCAAGAAAACAAAATGGAAAAAACATCAGGAATCCTCTTTCCTTACAGAAGGCTGATTTGTTTTTTGATTAAACAATTAACATCTGCGAAAGGCAGAAGATGCTGTCTGCTGTTGCTGCTTGGCAGACAAAGAAAGTACAACAGGACAAGTTCTGCCTTTGGGTTTTTTCATGCAAAGCCGTGATAACTTCATACAAACAGTCCCTCTGGGTTTATCACACTGACACAGAGCAGTCCAGTTTGGCTTGCCGTGCAGAGGCCCTACTCAGCATCACCGGCTTGATTTGGACCTGTTCCTAAGAGCAACAAAGGGCGGCTGCAGTGTTACTTGTGAATCACCAGGCAACTGCTTCTGCTCCAGATGAGCCTGATCCTGCCAAGGGCAGAATGCGTTCAGCTTCCAGCACATTTATTGCACGTAGAAGGCACCTCAGGACAGCACCAGAACCACCTTCAGAAGCGCTCCCCAGCTCTGCTGTGGTATATAACTTCTGTTCCTTGGGAAAGGAGTGTGAGGTGCACAGCAGCTCCATCTATTCCAAAGAATTTCTCTTTCCTAAATATTCCCAGCCACCACACCTAAGATTTTACCATTACTGGAATTAACTGCAAATTTAGAACCAAGCCACGTTTTGTTGAACATTCGAGAGATCTACTGCCTCAAACCAGTGCCACGACCCCGCAGTTGAGATTCAGCTCGTTTTGTATTGGGCGAGGAATGCCCAGCATCTGCCTGTGAGTACCAGCAAGCTGTCAGCCACCAACCAACCTGCCCAAAGCAAAGCTGTAAAGTTGCCCATCAAAACCCTGCCATTTACACAGATTTATCTACCCACTTTGGATTTCTTTTCCCTAATTTTTGTCCTTGCAAACCCTGTCAGAAAAAAAACAAACCCAGACAACAGCAGAGATGTGCCTTGCCTTACGTTTTAGTTTTGCAGCTGCTGTTGAAAATATTCATTCACGTGTTCAAACTCTGCAATGGTAACCTGAAAACTCTTCCCTCCCCCATGTGCTTTACACCTAAGTTGTAGGTGTAAGGCACTTGGGGATCCTACACCGAGCTGAGGTTTACCTCCTCTCTGGCTGCTTAGGACAGCACTAACAACATCATCTGCTTATTCACATTTTCTCAACTAATGAAAATAATAAATTGATATAGTGAGAATCAATATAGTATCAGCACTAAAAATGCAGAGAGCGCACAATATTTTGGTAAGAAAACACCTTAATGTGTCCTTCCCTGCCACAGTCAAGCTTTTGAAAGTGTCTGGCATGATGTATTGCCTCATTTTCTACCTCTTTCC